GCCTCATACGGCTTCCTCCTGTTTATCTTCACTGTAAGGGATCACTAGGTCTCTTTCTCCCAGAGAGCACCGCATGGGTTCGAACCACCACACTTCTGGCTCAGAGCCAAACGCTTTAAGCCTTGGGCTACCTGAGCACCTCTCTTCATGCTTGCACCCTTTGTCTCTGTTGACTTGTATGCAGGGAACTCATGGGGATGCCTCAGCCAGGAAGTCCCACATGCCCACATAACGCTATCCCTTAAAGTCGCTCAATAGGTATTAGAAGGAAATAAAAATAAATATGGGCTTAAACAAAAAAAGGAAGAAAGTGTTAAACATGGAGCGCAATATTAGAGTAAGTGGGAGATGAGGTAAATTCTCATTAATTATAAACTTTTAATATAAACCGAAAATATAATTAAGTAATTATACTGAAAAAAGAGTATATTATATGGAGTAAATTTACTGATAAATTTAAACACTTAATGAAATGTGTACACTAAAATGGAAACATTTTATTCCCAATAAAATATACATTTAAATTATAAACATGCAAGCATCTATATGGTCACATATATAGAAATGTACACACAGCTATATACACATACATAATTTTAATAGTGTTGCTATTGGTAGGTTCCATGGAGTCGACTCCGACCTGTGGTGACTTATGGACAATGAAAGGAGGCACTGCCTAGCCCTACACCATCCTCCCACTCGTAGTGCTGAGGCTCACTGTTGCAGCCGCCTTGTCAATCCACCCATCGGAGGCCTCCTCTCTATTGCTGCCCATTCATCAGGTGTGATGTCCCCTTCAGGGACTGGTCTCTCTCTTCAACATGCCCAAAGTATGAAGGATGAAGTATCACCTTCATTGCCCCTAAGGAGCACTCCAGCTGTACTTCTTCCAAGACAGACAGGTGTCTCCTTTTAGTAGTCTAGGGTACTTTCGATATTCATCTCCAGCCCCCCAATTCAAATGCATTGATCCTTCTTTGGTCTTCCTTATTCAATGTCCAACTTTCACGTGCGTATGAAACAATTGAAACTACCATAGTTTGGGTCAGGCACACCTTAGTCCTCAGTGTTAATAGAGACACAAGCAAATAACTGAAAAGGAGAATCTATGTTCCCTACAAAATCTTTACTTCAGTGAGCAAGTCACAGTGACCGAAATTGATAAGTACTTTTATAAAAGAAAACTATAGTAAATTCCAGAACGTATCTCTCCAGACCATATTTTATTATTAAGGCCAATCTATAATAAAATAATGCCCTCCAAGAAAATAATGTACATCAGGAATTTTAAAAATATATTCTAAAAAATCTTGTGTTCAGTAAAAGAAAAATTAGGTTGTCCATGATAT